TAATATCTTTCACTTTTCTTTTTCTTTTTTTTTTACTTTTCATTTTTTTTCACTTTTCATTTTTCACATTCTCGAAAAAGTAGTGGGCTCTGACGTGTGTCCCAAGTTTTGCATCTGAAGCTCATTTTATGCTATCGCAATTTAAAAATAATGTATAGGCCACGCCCACATTCTGCATTTGTTGGGACACTTTAAATCTCAGTTTGTTGTTATAAAATGGTGGTGTTTTTGGCGCCCCCTATAGTCCAAAATGAAAATGCTTTGGTGTGCCTATTCCCCAAGACAGATTAAACCTATCCACCAAAATCTGTGATATATGGATACATTTATTTCTAAGCCCCGCCTTTTTGCGAGTACGTTTTGATTCATGGCGGCAATATTTATCGTCTTAACATGCTCATTTTCTACGGTAATGTGTCTGACCCTCTGTATACGAAGTTTGGTGTTGAAAAACTGAAAATTAAAATGTAACTGTTTTGAACATTATGCTAATTTTTTATTTTTTTAAATTAGGCGGAGCTTAGGTGTCCAATAGGATTATTTGTAGAGCAGGTTCACCCAGATATGTGTGCAAAATGTCAGGTCATTTGGAGTTACGGTGCGACTTTGTACATTTATTCCGAAATGGGCTTTTGATAGGTGGTGCTAGTGAGCAGGTTTGAATATTTAACACATTGACTCCAGAATATTGTATTTTTCACCGGTCCTGGCGTCCGTGCAAAATTATACAACTTTCGAAGCGTCCTAAAGGCCTCAAAAACAGGAAACGCCAGCAGAAAAATAATAATACCACGAAGAACAATAGGTTCCTCGCACTTCGTGCTAGGATGCCGTTGGGTCCTAGCGCTCCGTGCTCGGGCCCTAATAATTCTATGCATTACAATAGGTCTTCGCACACTTCGTGCTCAGGCCCTAATAATACCTAGGATAACAACAGGTGCCTCGCACTTCCTGCTAGGACGCCGTTGGGTCCTAGCACTCCGTGCTCGGGCCCTAATTAAAGCTGCAAGCAGCGTTGAGTGGGTCTTCGACGCTCCGCAGGCTGTTGTCCGCACGTCAGGCAGATGTCTCGAGGACTCGGCCGTTGGCAAACGTGGGAAGTTTCGGGCCGATCGGACAATGTGACTAGGTTCGCGTGTGCTACCTACCTAATGATTTAGGCCACTTTTTATGGGCTTTTGCCCGTCGTTTTCCCTGTTTTGTGTGGGTTTTGCATGGTTATCGCTCGCAACGCAAGCGACTAAATTGATCCTACCGATATCAATCATAATAATAATAATAGATTGAATTTGTTAGCGCTTTTACAGGTGCTCAAAGACGCTTTACAGATATAGTGAAGAGAAAAGAAAAGAAAGGAACAACAAATAAATATATAGTTAAAGTTAAAGTCAAATAATACAAGTAACCAGTTTTTTGAAGGTGGTGAGGTCAGTGCAGTCTCTGATGGGTTGTGGGAGTGAGTTCCATAGGGAGGGGGCAGCGACGGAGAAGGCTCTGTCCCCCCAGGTCCGGTGATTGATGTGGGTGGGGATGGATAGGAGGTTGGCTTCTGATGAGCGGAGGCAGCGGGAAGGGGTGTGGTGGTGCAGCAGGTCTGTGAGGTAGGGGTAATCATGAGAGTTGCAGTCACGTGGGCTACGTCCATGTGACTGGGCTCGAGCGGACGATCTGCCGTTATGATTTCCGAATCTTTTCTGTGCTTTTGCCGGTCGTTTTCCCTGTTTTGGGTGTGTTTCGCAGGTTTATCAGTCGCTGCGCGATAGGGTCTTCGCCGACATCAGGTCTCAGACCCTAATAATCCTTATATTTATTATAGCGCTTTTTCAATGACTCTCAAAGCGCTCCTTACAAATACACATACATACATGTAATGGTCATGTACTGTGGACAATACCCACAGGAGCAAATTCAGGTGAAGTGTCTTGCCCAATGTAGCACTGAGGGGGCCTGTTGACTAGCAAAGGGGAAGAGAGATGAGGCTGATGCCCTCTACGCAGAGATTCAGCTTTATATAAATCTTTAAAAATCCTGTATGCACTCGTGGGTGTGTGTGGTTGTGCTGTAACAGCAGCTGCTCAAGTATGCATGAAGGATCATACAGATTCTCTCTGTTTACATGCTGATAGAGGGACTGTTGTGTGTGAATCTGTCGGTTTGTGTTATCTCAGGGTGGATGTGTGTCTTTTTCTTTCTCACTTCAGCTCATTCTGCTGAGGTCTGAATGTCACATGAATCATTTTAGTACCCAACAGTAAAGGTCTGCGATTTAAATACTAGACCCAAGTGAGCGAAATTAAATGAAGTGGAGTAAACAGAACAGAGAGTATATTGAGTGAGTGGGCCACGGTAATGAAGAGCTATATTTGAGTCGACACAACAATCGCTCGTTGTCCTAAAAGAGCTGCACAATCAGGCCGAGTGTTCGGGTTAGATAAGGACTGTGATCTGGGGTGAGAGGGAAGAATACATCCAACAACAGCATGCTTTAATTACATTTACTTATAATGAATGGGTTACAATGTTGAAAGGTCAACGATTGTTGGTTTACAAATTGTTTTTACCATTTAATGAGTAAAATAGCTGTTAGTCAGAGAGCTGGCAAAGAAAATCAGGATTTTGTATTAAATACTCTGTTATGTTGAATCTGTGTGGGTGGGTGGTCAGGTAAAGTGAGTGTGTTTGAGAGGGAAAAGATAAGCTTATTTAGAAATTAAAATATAAGTTTTAAATGAAATGCGCTATACAAGTCCCATGTATTATTATTAGGGCCGGGACTTTAACGCGTTAATTAAGATGAATTAATTACACAAAAATTAACGCATTTTAATCGCACTTATTTTTGCACCGCGGAACGTTTCTCACTGGATGAGTTTCAGGCGTACCGATTATACTGGAGCACCAACTAACGTTCATGACTTCAGACAACAACAAACCACAGTGAACAACAGTGGGAAATGTTGTTTTAAAAAACGGACGGATGGAAGCGTCGATAAGAGCACGGTTGTGTGCAAATTATGCAAAAAGGAATTCGCATATCACCGCAGCACATCAAGCCTCAAGTATCACCTCAATGCAAAACATATAGCAGCTAGCGTGGAAGCTAGCGTGGACGTTAGCCTCTTTTATCGCGTTCACACCAAAAAGAGCCGGTACTAAAATTAGTTCATGAGAACCTTTTTACCCCCACGAAAGTCCCTGCTAGAGAGCAGAGAGCTGCTAGAGAGCAGGGACTTTCGTACGGCTCTCTTGTGAGAAAAGAGCTATATTTCTTATTGGCTGGGCGGATTGCAAACCACGCCCCGTAAAACTCCCAAAAAGTTTTGTGAAGCCGCCATTTTATTATCCTCGCATTAGCATTATTAGCATTAGCCCAGCGCAGAAACGCAGAGAGACTAACTTCTGGCAACACAAAATAAAACATGGGAGCGGTGGAGATGAGGAGGTGTCGGCGTTCTGGCGATTTACTCGGAAGGCTGCTGGGACTCCCAGCAGCTTCTACTGAAGCCAGTCCCTAACTCCGGGGACTTCCGGCCGGGGACTTCCGGCCGGGGACTTTGGGCGGTAGTATACGCCGTGAAGTGGTTTGCGGCCTGCCAGTAAAACCAAAGCAGAAGAAGAAGAAGTGACGTCAGCGGCTTCATTTGCCTAATCCTCCCCCAGGTTCAAAGAGTTCTCATGAACTAAGTTCTCATGAACCTTTGTGGGAAAAGTACTGCGGTGTGAATGCGCCTAATGGTATACTAAATCCATGTGAAAAAAATTGCTTCTCACTGTTTCTTAGGTCAAATATTTATATGTGATTAAAAATGCGATTAATTTCGATTAATTAATTACAAAGCCTCTAATTAATTAGATTAATTTTTTTAATCGAGTCCCGGCCCTAATTATTATTATTATTATTAAATGGCATACATTTATAGGAATTTCATTTAGTTTCAACAATGATGTTGATGCTGTAAAAGTCCTTAAACAAGTTTGAAAGAGTCAGTCCGAAGTTTAAACCTCAAATTATAAATAACATAGATTGTATTCAGCACACAATGCAGGTCTGTCCACCAACACATTCTGTCCGTTCACTGACACTAAGTCATGGTCTGGTGAGAAAAAGCGAGCCAACACAACAACTAACAATGCTTCTCATATAAATGCTTGATACTAGTTTGACAAAGTAATGAATATTTTTTTTTGAACTGATTGTCTCTTCCCGCACATGTAAACCAGGTCACAAAGGGTAAATCAAACCGAAGTGCTTTAGCCAATTAGAATGCAGGCAGATTACACTCCACACGCTAGTCAGATACAAGGTAAAACAAAAAAGTATTGTAAAGTGCACTTCTCTAACCGGAGGACAAAAGGGCGTGTGCTCAAGCCCCCTTTGAGGTCTATCTGTGCAAGGCAGGAACACTATCCCTGCACGTCTGATAATGTCGCTGAGATTTATATTGAGGATGGTTGAAAGCCCTGTGCATCTCTTTAAAGTGTACCATGTTTAGTATATGTTTTGGTATCGCTGCTGTGTGTTGTTGGCCTGGGATTGGGACCAGGCTGAAATATCACTGGATATTTGTAATCACACACTCTGTGATGTTGCTGCTCACTTTGCTGCTGGTCATCTGGTCTGCTTTCCATATCTGTGATTATGAGCCATAATCATTTCCTGTTATTCCATGAATGTTATTTATAGAGAGTATATATTTTTAACTCTTCCATTGTTGGCTCGAGGTAATAAATGTGATTAAAGGTGGGGTTGTTGTTGGAAATAGAGCTTCCTCTTTAGAGAGAGGAAGTCTCAGAGAAATTCCTGACATTGATACGACGGGCCGCCCACTTTCTCTGCTCTTAAATGCATTCATCCATGGCTGAGTTCACCGACACACCACACATGTACTTTAAGATCCACATGGTAAAGTTTTGTCAGTGTTGAGGTCTTACCAAGAAGAAAAAAAGGCATGTTAAGACTTATTGATGTGAACATATTCTCCTCCTTCTCTTCTCAAAAGGCTAAAGGACGGAGAGATGGCATGGTGTCGTCCAATGAGAACAGGCGCCGGCCGCTGTCGTCGGGTGAGGTGGAGGGCGTGTCGTGGCATGGCCCCCGGACCATTTATGTCCCGAAGAACTCGCAGGGATTTGGCTTCACGCTGCGCCACTTCATCGTCTACCCCCCCGAGTCCTCCATCCACAGTCTCAAGGTGAGCCCTATCTGCTGTTTAGCCACAATACAAATGGGTTTATATTTAAGTATATGACAAATTTAGAAAGCAGCTCATTTACATTTACTTTTTAATTATAGCTTATTAGCAACATAAAGCTTATTTTGAATGCATATTGAGGTTATTTACCTCACGACAGAGCTATTTGACCCATTACACTGACTTTATATTAAAATCTTTGACACAAAATGTATATCTATTATTGTCTTACTTTTTTATCTAACTTTTAGAAATGTGTCACAGCATTAGTAACATCTATAGTAGAATTAACACTTTCCAATATTAGCAATATTTATGTGTGTGTTGTGTCATTCTGTATATGCTGCCATGTCAAAAAGCTGATCAGAGAAGCAAAGTTGACCTCAGATAGGATGATTGAGTACGGTGTATTTATGTGATCCAAACTCTACAGCTACACACTGTGCTGAGGTGCTTTAGACTGTGTGTGACAGGGGAGAAGCTGCAGCATACCTCTGTGTTTGAGCAGAGCCCTTTGTGTCCAGTCAGGAATGAGCTAACTCAGCATAGCATCAGAGCCTCACACACACACACACACACACACACACACACACACACACACACACACACACACACACACACACACACACACACACACACACACACACACACACACACACACACACACACACACACACACAGGGAGTCCTGTGAGTGACCTAGGCAGCAACAATAATCAAAAGTTTTAGAAATCACAATTTGGAATCTTACAATATTCAAATCGCAGGAAGCCATAATATTTAATACTTGCCCGCTTTAACTCTCACCTCTTTTAAATCCAGGCTAAAGACTTTCTTTTGCCACTGCCATAATCCCACGCTGCACTGCAATTATTTTCTGCACCCCCCCTCTTCTCACACCTGCTCTGTTTCTCCCACAGGATGAAGAGAATGGAAATGCAAATGGAAAAGGTGAGTGCTTCATGTTTCTACTTTACAAGTTGGACTTTCTTTTTGAAACTGTTATTGAATCAGTATCACAGTTGATAAAGTGTCTCTACATGCCTTTGGGACTCATCAGAAACAATGATGTTCTGTATTATGATGCACAAACGATTAGGATGTGTGTGGGGACTCAATGTGAAGGTGGATCTGATTCAACTCTTTGGGTATGCTAATGTGTGTCTCTGTGTTTCAGCAGGATGTCCGCGGTCTCGTTTGGAGCCGATGGACACCATCTTTGTAAAAGAGTGTGAAAGACAATGGGCCTGCTCAACAAGCTGGACTCTGTACAGGTAAAAGACAAACACTCATATGTGAGCAAACAAATGGAAGACATGTGTGTCCCCTGACTGTCCAGCTTCATAATAAGGTGTCACTTCACCTGCAGTTATTACAGAGTTCTAACAGAAATACAATTAAGGAGCAGCAGCAAGTACTTTATAGACTTTGTGTTGCCTCTGTTCCTTCACTCAGGCTTCATACAGGCTGCCCTCTTATTATTGCTTTAAGAGTAATTTAACACACTTCTCACGTTGCTGCAGTCACACTGGTGATGCTGGCTGTGGTCAGGGGTGAAGCAGGCTAAATGTTACTCCCCCCCTAACCTGTATGCTTTGGTTAAACTCCGGTAGGTTTTCCTGTTAAGCGTGGTTCCTCTGAGCAAGTTAAAGCTTCCAAACAGACTCTGGTGGGATCTTTTATTCTCTACTATGTGTATTTTGGCTGTTCATTCAAAAGAGTGTAACGCTATAATCCCATATTAACCCACCTATAATAGATTCTTACCACCCTGATATTTCTTGTTTTTAATCCTGTTTCTTCATGTGGTCATTACTCATGACACAACATGTGCATCATTTGCAGTCTGATAATACTTATAATGCTTATTGTGACGCAAGAGTATAAACATAGAAACCTGATGCATTAGCGTTGCATGACCTGCTGTCAGTCATTACAGTTTGGTTCCCCTGTGACGGTCTTCACGATGAAGGCAACAATAGTGTGAAGGGCCCACAAGAGGTAGATTGTAGGAACTAGCCAGGATTTAAAAATAATTTACTCTGCTCTGCAATTTTTCTGAGCCAACATTTTTATTTAATCCACTTTCTGAATTTACTCAGAATATTCTCCTAAAAAGAGTTATAGAAAGCACATAAAGCACTGTGTACTAAAGACGCAACTACAACTAATTAATATAGTATATCAATTATTTGTCAGGGAAACTCAACATGATGATGATAAGAAGGTTAAGTGCATGAAAATGATAACGGAGCACTTACTTGTTTTATTCTTCTAAAAGCTTGATTGCTTCTCCTCAGGGTCAATCTCCCTCTAACACATGTTTCACCCTGATTCTGAATGTGTGTGTTGTGCAGGGGACAGGCTGGTGAAGGTGAATGGGCAGAGCATTCTGGGTAAAACCTACTCTCAGGTGATCACACTCATCCAAAACAGGTGGGACATTAGTCTTAATGAATTCCATTGTTATGTTCCATCTGATCTGGTATTTATTTTGTTCGTATATTTGGATATTTTTCCTCCAGTGAAAACATTCTGGAACTCTCCATCATGCCCAAAGATGAGGACGTGTTGCAGTTGGTAAGTGTGAGTATTAACTTTCTTCTTTTTTCTCTTCCTTCATGCTTTCACCTTATAACTGAGTTAAGTCACAGCTAGCTAGGCTGTTCGCATGATGGCAGCGATTATGAATTGTTATTATAATTCATGCAGCTACTTATTTAGTTAAACTACTGATATTTGGATTATTTGGTTATAAATCAGAAAACAACAACATTAGTTTGTACAGATGGGAAGAATATATACACTGAACAAAATATAAATGCAACACTTTTGTTTTCACTCCCATTTTTCATGAGATGAACTCAAAGATCTAAAACATTTTCTATATACACAAAATAACCATTTATCTCAAATATTGTTCACAAATCTGAAAAGATCTGTGATAGTGAGCACTTCTCCTTTGCCGAGATAATCCATCCCACCTCACAGGTGTGGCATATCAAGATGCTGATTAGACAGCATGATTATTGCACAGGTGTGCCTTAGGCTGGCCACAATAAAAGGCCACTCTAAAATGTTCAGTTTTATCACACAGTACAATGCCACAGATGGCGCAAGTTTTGAGGGAGCGTGCAATTGGCATGCTGACAGCAGGAATGTCCACCAGAGCTGTTGCCGTGAATTGAATGTTCATTTCTCTACCATAAGCCGTCTCCAAAGGGGTTTCAGAGAATTTGGCAGTACATCCAACCGGCCTCACAACCGCAGACCACGTGTAACCACACCAGCCCAGGACCTCCACATCCAGCATGTTCACCTCCAAGATCGTCTGAGACCAGCCACTCGGACAGCTGCTGCAACAATCGGTTTGCATAACCAAAGAATTTCTGCACAAACTGTCAGAAACCGTCTCAGGGAAGCTCATCTGCATGCTCGTCGTCCTCATCGGGGTCTCGACCTGACTCCGGTTCGTCGTCGTAACCGACTTGAGTGGGCAAATGCTCACATTCGATGGCGTCTGGTACGTTGGAGAGGTGTTCTCTTCACGGATGAATCCCGGTTTTCACTGTTCAGGGCAGATGGCAGACAGCGTGTGTGGCGTCGTGTGGGTGAGCGGTTTTCTGATGTCAATGTTGTGAATCGAGTGGCCCGTGGTGGTGGTGGGGTTATGGTATGGGCAGGCGTATGTTATGGACGACGAACACAGGTGCATTTTATTGATGGCATTGTGAATGCACAGAGATACCGTGACGAGATCCTGAGGCCCATTATTGTGCCATTCATCCACGACCATCACCTCATGTTGCAGCATGATAATGCACGGCCCCATGTTGCAAGGATCTGTACACAATTCCTGGAGGCTGAAAACATCCCAGTTCTTGCACGGACAGCATACTCACCGGACATGTCACCCATTGAACATGTTTGGGATGCTCTGGATCGGCGTATACGACAGCGTGTTCCAGTTCCTGCCAATATCCAGCAACTTGGCACAACCATTGAAGAGGAGTGGACCAACATTCCACAGGCCACAATCAACAACCTGATCAACTCTATGCGAAGGAGATGTGTTGCACTGCGTGAGGCAAATGGTGGTCACACCAGATACTGACTGGTTTCGGGACCCCCCCAGACTCCCCCAATAAAGCAAAACTGCATGTTTCAGAGTGGCCTTTTATTGTGGCCAGCCTAAGGCACACCTGTGCAATAATCATGCTGTCTAATCAGCATCTTGATATGCCACACCTGTGAGGTGGGATGGATGATCTCGGCAAAGGAGAAGTGCTCACTATCACAGATTTGTTCAGATTTGTGAACAATATTTGAGAGAAATGGTTATTTTGTGTATATAGAAAATGTTTTAGATCTTTGAGTTCATCTCATGAAAAATGGGAGTGAAAACAAAAGTGTTGCATTTATATTTTTGTTCAGTGTATGTATACAACCAACATAAGGGTCACAACACTTAATTCTTATTTGTATTATAATCATAATACCATTTAGAAATACGATGAAGTGGGAGATAAAATAATTAAAGCAGAATATCATTTTATCAATATTAATTTTGTTGTCTTTTGAAACAGTCAAAAGATAATACCAAGCTTACATTATAGTCTAGTTGCCAGCATTTTTAACCCAGAAATGTTGAGTACCCCAAAGTTCTGTTATAAAAATGTACAGTATGAGTCCCCAGCACAACCTGTATATGTTGGGCAATTTGCACAATTAGCACAAGTTGCATTAATTAGCATTTTAGCCTGATATAGTTTAAAAATGGCTTGGAAGGTTTGAAATATTTTTGAGTACATTTGGGAGTTATTGAAGATGCTGAAACCACTTCTGACATTTTCTGGATCCGAAATGGCCTAAACAGATAGCTTGTATTTTGAATAGGTTTATTTCAACTATTACAGTATTAAACCGTGCCAAATTAACAATAAGGAATTAATGTTCCGGTGTTGGTTGTTTTATAAGGATTTATGGTACCACTTTACAATAAGACTACCCTTATAAAGGGTTTACGAATAGTTTGTAATTCATTTATTAATTAGGTTGTGAACACTTTTATAAGACATAAACAGGGTAACTGTGACCGGTTGCTTGCCAAATAGTGAGCCCACATTTATCTGTACTGCTAAGTCTTATATTGGCTACTTCGCTTACTTCATCTTCTTCATCAGCCAGCATCCTTGGAATCTGTTGTTCACTGAGTTGATTCTCCCCCCCCTCCATCTTGATGTTTCTTGGCATCTCTTATGACCATTTATTAATGAGTTACTACCATTTATAATTGGTAAAAGGGAGCCTTATTGAAAAGTGTGAAATACAGATTTTACATATTATAACTGAAAGGGTGCGTTGTTTTTAGGTTTAATACACATGTCCATTTATGAATGAGTTATAACATTCACGCTTACCTAATACACATTTTCACATGAAATGCAAAGTAAGATGCAACAGAACCAAGCAAAACATTTTATTCACACGTGAAGAAAATCAGGACTCAAAATAATGACTATTTAGTATGACTGATACACATATTTAAACATAAAAGCTTTTCTCAGACATAAATGAAAGACTTTATGTGTACATAATGGTACTCAGACTGGAAAGGCTTTGTGTATATCCTTGAACAAGCGTCCAATTAGTCCATCAGGGTGAGCAGAGCCAAGCCAAGATGACCATTCAAGACCCTTGAGGTGTTCCTCCAACAAACTCTCTGTACGTAGGCCTGTCACGATAATTAATTTTGTTGAACGATACGTTTTCCCGGAATTTATTGCGATATACGATAATATTGTCGGCACTGTTGTAAGTCCATTTTAGACCACTGACAAAATGATAATATATAATAATAATTCAAGTACATCCTTTTTCATTGAACATTCAACATTGTAAATTAAATGTGAAATAATATTTATATATAATAAATTATATATAATAAATAAAACAAATTAATTAAATAATACAAAATGTATTAAATAAATCACACACAACCCAAACAATAAATTAAATAGACTCAGGTTGGAAAACAAAGCTCTCTTGTGGCCAAAACACGCAATTGCATTTGTGAAAATGCAGTAGTAAAAAATGTTTTTTTTAAAAAATAAAGTAAGTCGAGAAGGTGGGGGCTCTCCATCTCCTGCTCCCAGCTGGGAAAACGGAATGGGGTTGTTGTGTTTCAGGTGCAGTTTAAGGTTGGTCGTATTGCTAGCTTTTGTTGCTACCTTTTTAAAACAAATGCGACATACCGGCTCATTCAATTCCGTAGGTTCAGCTCGTTGATTTGGCTTAAATCCAAAATATTTGATGTGGAATTAGGTTTTGCAACATATTCCATTTAACTTCAAATTCCCCTCAAGTAAGTCACACGTTGTCGCCTACTTGTCTCAAAAAACACTAAGAGCACAGCAGCCGAGGATACAGGTGTGTGTGCTCAGTCAGGACAGTATGAACTGATAAACTGGGTCAAAGTTATGGGCCTTGGAAAACATTTCCCCAACAGGTACAGTGACGTATTTGGGTATAGTGACGTGACGTAACCTCTGCAGAGCCGTTACGTTAAATCCGCGGATTGGTCCACTTCCTCACACACACACACACTCAATCTTTTCTCAGCTGCAGCTCCCCAGATTTCTCAGCCTGAGATGGCGGGACGCTGTGAGTCTGTGTGTGAGCACCAGAGGTCGCGTTAACCGAATATTTTCCGTCTATGATGGATTTTCTTTTACAATGACGGAAAAATCCGAAAGCCGTCCGTCATTTTGACAAATTAGAACAAACTCAGAACAGCGCCACAGTTTCCTCGCAGCGAGGCTCCGGTGTTATGCCGTATTATGCATGCCCGCCCAAAAGGAAATTATACCGTTTCCAAACCAAACTTTGCCGTACAGATCATTGAAATGTCTGTGAGTATTTGCTTTACGTTTTTTTTAAACCCACAATGCTAACGCTGAGCCTCTGAATTAGCAACGAGCGAAAAATGCTAACAGATTACTGCACAGAAACTCACTCATAAAACCCTTATTATTTATCTTTTCTGCACATCCAACGATTGGCATCGTGAGAAGACACAGAATCGATGGGTACATACATCATCACTCTATGATAAGAGTATTATCTCGCGGAGATATTAACAAGAACAGACATCAAAACATGTGGCGCTAGGTAGCTAAAACCGGCAACATGGCCTACCTTGGTCGTAGTCTGGTCAAAACTGGTCTTCAATGGCATTACAACGATAAAAACGCTGCTGAAGTTAATCCATAGGTTAATCCAATGTGTCTGTGTCCATTTGAAATGATTTCTGATAATCCATAAACAATAAACCCTGCTTTTCCGTTTCCAGATGTCAGAGCGAGAGATAGCTTCACTCTCATGCAAAACAATATGCGCAAAGCCCCCACCTTTTTGTGTTAACGTTGATGTCTATGTGAAAACTCCCCTTCAATTCTATTGGCTCTAACGGTCAGAAAGAGATGTCAATCACCAAAATCAATCAATGGGTTCCAGAGAAACGGTAAAAACGATAATTTCCACCCAAATCACCTCAGAGGTGGAGTTTTTGTTGCTAAACCTCTCTAAAAAGTTCAAATGTCACTTGTTTTGCATCAATCTCGATACAGGGTACTTATTATATGTTGTACTTTGAATTCCTAAAGCTTTTAGTCTACCTTACCATCATCCAAGTAAAAAATAATTTTTGGACGGACACTATAATTTGCACTTTTTTTACTATGTTCAATCTGAATTATCTTTAAAATAAAAAACATCTATATTGATTCTGACTTTTCTACATCCAACTCACAGGTTTATCATTACTTTGAGAAAAAAAAAATTCATTTAACCCTTTTAGAAGTATAGTTATGGTCATTTGTTCTGGAAATGTCATTTTCGAGCCTGAGACCTGAAAAACAGGCTTGGTGCTTAACAGGTTAAGGATAATTATACATAATTATCCATATTGATTTTTTTAAAAACATTTTTTATTCTCTTGTACAAGAAGGCCCAGTCTATAACTGCCGAACATAGGAACTGGGTACAGTACCTTCTCCCAGACACAAATACTCAAATAAAATAGTTTACTTTATTAGCATTGGTATTACCAATGCTTACTATTTATTTGATACCAATTTGGTAATACAATTAATAAAAAGAACAAGGTTTGGGTTCGTTCTTCAGATATGACTGCGATGTTAACGTGTAAGCTCAATAATGAACTCCAGCTCAACCAACCATATTGTAATATCTAAGTAATCATCTTGAAATATGACATGTAATTATAATTATTATTATTTGTAATATACACACATCTTATTATGAGGTTGATTTCACATACACTACGCCTCTCTTCAACACTACTTTGTCTACATAATACATAAGCACATTTTAATTAACCTTAGCAATGCATAAAGTTACCTATAATAAAATATCTCTCTAAGTTACAAGGATGACCTTATTTTACCAACCTCAAACAGAAGCCGTTTATTCTACAGTATTATCCCACTTAATGCTTAACATTTCGGTATGTAAGGGATAATGTGCAGCGAGGTCCCTCCGCTTCGCGTCGGGCTCCTGATCAGCCTGTCGGGTGTTCTTTACCCATAATGACCAAGTCGCTGCACATTATCTCGCTTATTACAAGGCCACATTCTCAACAAAGTAACGACATCACTCCCAATATTAATTGAATTTTTTTTATTGATTTAGGATTTTTTTTATTGATTTAAAAAACAGTATTATTGATTTAAAAAGTACTTTTATTGATTTAAAATGACATGCATCCGTTAATAGTCCGTTGGCAGGAACTGCTTCGATAGCGTTTTTGCAGAGCTTTTTGATTACAGATTTGAAAACATCGTTGCTTTACAAGTAGCACAATTCATGATGTCAAATCTAGATATCCCTGCCCTAATGCCAAAGTAACTGGCAACTGAATATGTTTTGCCGTTTGATGTCTGGACCAGCCTACGTAAAAAGGACCGCAGCTCTGTGTTAAGGTTTATGCCCCGTAGCTGATCAGCTAGTCTTTAAATTGTTTCATAGCCCATAATGTGGTCCGTCTTTTCGCCTCTCTTACTTCTCCACTGTTTTCTTGTCCCTCTTGTCTTTTTATTTTCTTCACTGGGGACTCATCAGCCACTAGCCATTCATCCTGTGCTCTCCAAATATATTAAAATTAATATTAAAATCCTCCATGTTGCTCCCAGACGGTAGACAACGGAAAACTTCGACCAAACTGTATAGTTAAATCGACCGGACTTCTTTCTGCAGATGAGAGCGCCCTTAAAGGAATGCTCCACTCATTAGATAATTAATCAAAACTTCAGTATTTAGTGAAACATTATGTTTAAACCATACCCTGAAGAAATCAGCGATATTCCCCGGTAAATAATGATTTTATAGCTCTTTTTTATCAAAACCTGTATATTCCGTCAGGCAGCTGCCATTTTGGCCATTTTCAGTAGTCACGTGATGGTCGTGACGTCATCCATGCGTTCACTTTGTAAACACACAAAAACATGGCGGAGTATTTGAGTATTGTCTGGGCCCCAGCAAACATTTTAGAACATTTACTGATTTAAGCTAGAGAATTAAAGCAGTCTGGACAGTCTGAGAAATGTCACCGGACAATTCAAAGACTAGATAATTCCAAAAGATCCCTATCTACAAAACTTCAAATTCAAATATTTTATTAATTAAAAGGCCAACTACAGGCAAACAATACAATTGTGTATATCATGTACTGCCCAAATAATATAAAATAAAGTTTTCTAAAAAGGCAAACAATACAACCCCAATTTAGGCCTACTTAGTAGATACAATGATTTTGATTACTAGATATGTATGCATGTAGTACCACCCTTGCTAGCGATTCCCTCTCTAGTTTAGCATACTCAGCCTCGTTGTCCCTGGCCCTAGAACCACGATTTTATGGGGCTGGAAAAACTGGGGAAAAGTACCCGCGAGCCGGTACTACGCTATATGGAAAGGCCACCAAAAACTGGCCTGGCCTGGACGCTAAAGGACGTTAAACGGGGCTACCCGCTGCAATGGAAATGCGCCATAACATACCTTATTCTTACTCCTAGCACCACTTCTGGTCCTCCGTCGCTTCACACTTGCAGAGGGCGATTTCTCAACTGGCCGAACTGGTGTCCTGGTCGGTGATGACACTAAAAAGACCGATGGCACTGCATCTCCATTAAGTAATGGTTGTTTAATAAATCCCATTTTATGTTTTATCATACTCTCAGAGTAGTCGTCCGGAAACTTGAAATGTTCGCTGCATACATGCGCCTGTGGATCTTTCGGTTCGGGCCGGGCACATTTCGCTAGCCACTGCCTCCGAACATACTTCCTACGCTTACCTTTTGGCAACAGATGGAACCGAGCATTCCGTGGATTGTTCCTATCCGAATTGTGGCAATGTTTCGCGATACAATGAGGCATATTTCTATAGAATTGAGAGAGTAACTAGAGTAAACAACATGAACATCAATTTGTCCTCGACACCAAACGCATAGTTTACGTCACTTCCGGTAAAATGGCGCCGCCCACAGAGTTGATGTTATTTCGGTAATTAATCCGTTTAAAATCACTGATAACGTCATCGGATTAAAAAAAAAAAAAGACTGTTTTATCGGATGATAATTATTTAAAAATGCGTGTCATGAGCATTCCCTCCCTTTAACAACGGTCAATAAATCCTTGACAGCGGTCTGTACTACTGGATTAACAACGTGTCACGTGTTCTGAATTGACCAATCAGAATCCATTATTCAACTAAACCATGTAATAATACATTTTAATTTGGAGACTAAGATTAGCATCGTTAGCACAGATGTAGCTACCACTTGCTTACATGCTAACCCAAGCCTTAAAGGGATCTATCATGCAAAATGCTTTTTTTCATGTCTTTTATACATAAATATGTGTCCCCGGTGTGTCGGGGAACTCGCGCAGTGTAAGAAAATAAAACTTTCTCTTTTCCTCTGTTCCCACATCTTTTAAAAACGGGGGTACAACGAGCAGATACAGATTTGCTGCCGATACTACGTAATTTCGGATGGTGGACCCACAAAGAGTTGCTATCAGAAACAATGCCTGACGTGTTTTGGACGTAATATGGTATTTGTTTACATTACCAAGCATCGCTAACACTGAGAACTAACCTGTACTGAGCACATGTGTTTAAAAAGCAGGAAATAAAAAAAGGAACTCACCTTGTGGTAAACCCTTTAAGAGAAAAATTATTTGAGCTCCATACTATTTCAGAAATAATCCTTGAAGTGCTTTGATAGTAATTCTATCGCTCAAAGTGGAGTCGAAAGAGATGAGTTTTCAGTCTGCGCCGGAAGATGTGTAAGGATTCTAGCAGTTACTGGAAACCAGTGAAGTGAGCGGAGGAGCGGCGTGGTAAACAAATTATAAATGGTAGTAACTCATTAATAAATGGGTATGTGTTTTACACTTTACAAGGCTCCCTTTTGGCAGTTATAAATATTAGTAACTCATAAATAAATGGTCATAAAGAGATGCCAAGAAACATCAAGATGGATGGGGGGAGAATCAACTCAGTGAACAACAGATACCAAGGATGCTGGCTGATGAAGAAGACGAAGTAAGCTAGGTAGCCAATATAAGGCTTAGTCATCTTGCCGAATAGTTAGCCTGTGTTGATGTATGAAAACGGTTAGAACTGGTTTATAAATGGTTCTTAATGCATAATAAAGTGTTTACAACCTAATTAATAACCTAATTATAAACCCTCTATGAATCCTTTATAAGGGTAGTCTTATTAAATACATACGGTACAGCTGCATGTTGCACCTCTCCGCCCTCAGCTGTGCCCCCCCTGTCCGTCCTGTCTGACACTGTGGTCCTCTCCTCAGGCGTACTCGCAGGACACCTACCTGAAAGACAACGAGCCGTATGTGGGTGAGGCTCAGAACCTCCCTGTGCCCCCCCCCCCTCTGTTACCCTGCCTCTAAGCCCGGCCCCCCGTCCCCCCAGCCCGGCCTCAGCCTGCACAGTCCCCTGGACAACTGGCAGTGTTGCCCCGGCGCCTCTCCACTGGACAACCGCCCCCCCGCTGCACCTACCCCCACCTCCGGCTGGCCCGGGGTTCCTGACGATGCCAGCGGCCACATCCCGCCTCCCGCGCGGCCCCGAGGCCGTTCCTCTTCGGCCCTCAGTGCACTGGACTTTCACTTTGCTAACCACAACGCTGCCATCGCCTCCGCCACCCTGCCCCCCCCACGGAAAAGCAGCCTGCCGGCCCCCGCCCGCTCCCACGCAGACTCTCTGTGCCACCAGGCTCTGTCGGACTGGTACTACAGCCAGGCTGAGGCGGCGGAGAACATCCCCCCCCGCCACCGCAGCATCTCTCAGGACTGTTTAGCGGAGCTGGGGCTGGCCCTCGGCCCGGGACCCTCACCGGGCTCCGTCCCCTCTGCAGAGCAGCGCAGGAGAGAGGCCCTCCTGAGCCACCAGCAGGCAGCCGCTGCCTCCCATGACTCCTACTGGCTGGGGGGCTTGGGGGGGTTGTCGGGCCCCGGCAGCCGGTCCTGCTCAGAGGGCCTGCTGGCAGCGTATGCAGAGTACGAGCACAACTACGGCCGCTCCGTGGAGACCCTGGCCCAGGCCTCCGCTCTGGTGTCAGCACGCCATGAACCCCCCCCACATGGCCCCCAGACTGCTAACTACAGAGAGCAGAAAATGTCAGCGGGGCATCAGCACCAAACCACAGCGTCCTCCCCCATCACTGCCTCCTCCACAGTGCCTCCCAGCGGCAGGCGGGGGGGGCAGGTAGCTGAGCCCCAGACCCGGCGCGTTAAAGAGGAGGAGCTGGTGGGCTACAGGAGCTACAGCCCCTCCTTCTCCCGCAAAGCCGGACACCCCCCTCCAGCAGGCCCACTCCTTCAGAGAGCCCAGCTGCAGCGGCCCCCACCTCACCTGGAGCCCTGCAGACTGTGAGGGGGCTCTGGTCCCCAGGCCCCAGTCCACCCCCGCCCTGTCTGCATCAGACGAGGAGAGAGACGGCCTGGGGGAGGACCGGGAGCTCCTCTCCCCCGTCTCTCTGAACCAGGAGGTGGTGCTGAGGCAGAAGCCCCCCTCTGGCCGCAGAACTCCTGTTCAGGCCGCCCGACATCCCCACTACCCCCCCCAAGCAGAGCCACCAGAGCCCATTGGTCTGGAACCTTCACGAGGGACCCCCTCTCCTGTCTCTGGGGGGCCGACCCCCACCCGCAGGGCTAACGGTAGACTGGCACAGCATGCATACAACTCCCTGTCCTCCATCCCATTCATAGGTGAGTCACTGTTACAGTGGCAACAGCTGTCAGAAGATGTCACACTCACCAGTACCTGTCCCAATAATCAATTCAATTCAAATAGCTTTATTGGCATGACGTAATGACAATGTTGCCAAAGCTTTGCACAATTACGACGTTTTTACATAAATATACATTTGGAATGTAATGTTATATTCATAAACATTTTGAACAGAAGCAAATAACATGTTTTCTTTACAAGGAAAACTATAAAATGTACGAACATGAAAAAAATAGAAAAAGTTAAGATGAGTTATTGATTATTGTGCAGAATAATGCTGATAATACATTCTTATATTACATAAATATAAAAATGATAAATAGAGACCTGGTGTGTTTCTACCCATCTCAACATTTCTGTGTGTTAATACCAGTCAGTGTGTGTCATATGTACCCTCACTAGTCACTACATTCAGTTAAGTCTTGTCAAGTGTATGTTTGTTGTCAGTTAACCCTGAGAGTGTTAGTTGTGTTATCTGTCTCTGTAACTCTCTCCTGTGGCGGCCTCAGATGATCCCAGCAGCCCCGGCTCTGACCTGCAGGCCTGCTATGTTCCTGCCTGCTCTGTTGTGTCCAGTTCCACTGTGGCCACCCTGTCTGTCTCCCCCACCCTCTCCTCCATCTCCCCCTTTGTCACACTTTGTTCTCAGAACCTCAGTGAGTCTCACTCTCAATACTGAAAAGCTTCTCACAGAGCCAGATCAATATCTCGTATGTCTGACATTGACCAACATCACTGCCATTGTTTGCTTAATTCATTTGAATCAAGATGAAGTGATGTAATGCATGCAGAAAAGATATATATATATATATATGTCTAGTCTCAGCCTCATTCTCATTTTAAAGGAGTACACTGCTATCTAAAAACACTGCTGCACATGTATCCACAAATCTGTTTCACTCATTCAAACTCTTGTTGGATTGATTTATTTTAATGTAAAACTCCTGATAACGAAAGGACATTGCATGCTGCAGCGCTGTAGGGTAAAATGTATCCAAAAACTGAGAACTAAGCCTTTAGTTCCTTTACCTGGCTTATGTCAAAGTTTAAAATCAGCTTCACATTTCCCCACCATAAATAACATATTGTGTACCCTGCCTCTGTGTCACATGTCACTACCATTCATTATAAAATACATCTTAGTCTCCTTCTCCTCCTCCCCTCTCTAACTCCTCTTGTCTCTCTTCAGGGAGTATTAAAAGTCGCCGCTCCTCCTACCTGCTGGCCATCACCACAGAGAGATCCAAGTCCTGTGACGAAGGTCTCAACACCTTCAGGGAGGAAGGCCGTGTCTTCTCGTAAGAACTCAAAGGGCCATTTAAAAACTGCATTCTTTACTATTCCATATAGTGTCAGAAATTAGTAGTGTTAAACATTGTGTGCCGCAGAGCCTTCACAGTGACACAGGATCATGGATAGACACTTCAAGTTTTCTGAAGTAAATACCAAGCATAATAGATTTAAACTGGTCCAAGTTTCACAGTTTATAGTGTATTTGTTAGGTACAAAGAGCCTATATTGCATATTGCCTTTTCGTAAACAACATTGTGAATAGGGGAAATGCAATGATGTAATTTCCGCTTTTTTTTTTGTTATTGACATTTGTTGTTTTTATAGTTACTAATATGTTTTGTTTGAATTATTTTGGTTGTCAAAACGTATATTTACCATTGAGTATATATTTTTCCCATGTCTTTACAAGTTCTGTTTGTGTGGCTCCTGTCCGTTCTGTTTCACAGCAAACTACCAAAAAGGGTCAAGAGCTTTTTCACTGATGGGGTAAGTGTTCAACATGTGCTACTGTATATTTGTACTTTATATTTCTATTTCCAAACAAACTGTGGTGTGCACCCCATAATAACCCTTGTTGTGTTTCAGTCTCTGGAGAGCCTGCGAGCTCAGGAGGACGCCCGCTCCAAACGCCACTCCACCTCCGAGCTGGGAACCATCACCTTCAGCGACATACGCAGGGAGGGCTGGCTGCACTGCAAACAGATCCTCACCGAGAAGGGGAAGGTAACACACCCCTCAATTTCTCAATACTTTATATGCAAAGAAAAACAAGAAATTATAGGAAAGAAAATTGCTGAAGTTTGATTAATGTTTTGCACGTGAAGCAGACAAGAGGAACCTCATCGCAGTTCAGTTCTGCCTTCCAGCTGTGAAACTGCTTTCATCACTCAATTCTGCACATAAGTGTTCTGGGATTTAACTGGGCAGGACTCAAATACATTAAACATGAACATTTCCCAGAGCAGAAATTCTAAACGTTCGCTAATTTTACTGCAACGACTTTGGCACTGGGATGCAAAGAACAATCCTGGTTAACTCCTTAAATCCAAATTAAAGGAGTATTCTTCATTAAGAGAGGCTATTGTATCATGAATATAATGTGTGCCGTGCGCAGGACATGTCCTTCTTTATTTCATAATGTATTTTAACATTTGATCCGGCATTGATCAATTTTAACTCAATGTATTGATAACCTGATTACACATTTCTCTCTGTAACTTTTACCAATTAAAGTTAGTATTGCTATGCAACGATGGGCTGACTGTTGTCTCTGTATTTCCTTGCTGTAGAAAGTAGGAGGTGGCATGCGACCATGGAAACGCGTCTTCTCCGTGCTGCGCTCCCATTCGCTCTTCCTCTACAAGGACAAGCGAGAGGCCGTCCTGCACGGGGCGGGGCCCGGCCAGGACGAACATCCTCCAATCAGCATCCGCGGCTGCCTGATCGACATCGCCTACAGTGAGACCAAGAGGAAGCACACCCTGAGGCTCACCACGCAGGACTTCTGCGAGTACCTGCTGCAGGCCGAGGACCGGGACGACATGCTGGCCTGGATCAGGGTCATCAGGGAGAACAGCAAGACCGGCAACGAGGTGGGGTCTTCATACACACATACTCTCATGGAATTTACACAAACACACACATACTGACCTCTTCTGTCCCCTCCTCTTTCTCTAGGAGATCGGTTTCTCAGGACAAGCTCTCATCAACAAGAAGCTGAACGACTACAGGAAACACAGGTCAGCTCTATGATCAGACCACCACTGTCCCTTATCCTCTGTGTGAGGAGGGTCTCTATTGCTCAGGGCTAGAGGCCTGTCCGAGGCAATAACTGAGAGCAGATACCATGAACCAAAAATAAAACAACCCTCATCGTGTTTTCATTCATGTATCTGAGGTCATCATTCAATTTTTATAAAGAACTGAAAGATATTTTTACTGAAATCTGTATAAACGTCCTCTTCACACCTCTTCTAATCACAGTGTACTTGATGTTCTTCTGTCTTGGTTTGTCTCCCTGGGTGCAGTCTGACAGGCAGTAAGCCTGACTCCTCTCCCAGAGCACATCGCATGATACCTCCCTTCCTGCTTGCTAAGACTGACAACGCCTCAGTGAACCGGGCGAGAACTGGTGAGTCCCGATATGACCTGGTCTGAGTCCACCATGCACCCAGAGGAGTGTGAGGGCTGGCAGGGATCACAGGGGGGCTCTGATGTGTGCTGGTACCAAAAGGAATGGTACCAGTACACATCTCAATGAGGGAGAAAGAGTAGATTCAAGCCTTCATATTAACTTTATATCTTTCATGTGGAGAAATCCATTTGAAAGCAAACATGAATCATCTGTACATTTAGCCTACTTTAAAACATACCTGGAGGGGGACATAAAGACTTATGGTTAGTTTCTAATTCAAATGTAATTTACCGTTAGCATTTGCCTGAATTTGAGTAATAATTCAGAGTATGATTGGCACTGCATTTTGTTATAAATCTACACTATAGCTTCTGATGATGAACCTTGAATCATTACATTGTGTTTTTTTTTTTTTAAATGCCATTGATAGAAAATTCACTATTCTATGTTAAAATGAACTATCACATACATAGTGAATGTCCTTGTTAGCTCAGGAAGTGTGTGTGTGTGTGTGTGTGTGTGTGTGTGTGTGTGTGTGTGTGTGTGTGTGTGTGTGTGTGTGTGTGTGTGTGTGTGTGTGTGTGTGTGTGTGTGTGTGTGTGTGTGTGTGTGTGTGTGTGTGTGTGTGTGTGTGTGTGTGTGTGTGTGTGTGTGTGTGTGTGTGTGTGTGTGTGTGTGTGTGTGTGTGTGTGTGTGTGCGTGCGCAGATGACAACAAGGCACTGTGGGGCATCAACATCATGAAGAAGGCGAAGAAGACGGGCAGTCCGAAGGCTTTTGGTGTGAGACTGGAGGACTGTCAGCCTGCTGTCAACCACAAAGTGAGCCTTCAGGATGAAATATGAGCAACCACAATAACATGGCTCAGAGCCTAAAAATAACAGGAATTTGCTGTCTTAAAAAATAATGTCATTCTGTAGCAGTCTCTCATTATTTGGTACTTTGCCAGTTCTCCGTTCCTTTTACTGAATGTTACAATTCCCTGAGCTGATTGGAGGGGATTAAGATCACCTGTTGGCTCTTAATTAAGAATTGTGAGAGCAGCTTGTGGATTTCCCCTCTAGACCAATCAGAGTGAGACAAGAAAATGTTTGACTTGAGAGAGGTAGAGAACTGCTTCTTCCTTTAAAGAAGTACCCAGATATAAATGTATTTGTTTCGGGTTCTGAATGGAGACATGACAAATAACAAAAGAGAACCCGTTCATATTCGGAAAATCAATTCATAAGTAATTACTGAAAGAAACCCTAGAGTTCTTTAATTAAAAGATTATCAATAATTCTAGGATTAAATCCTGACAAACTGAGCTGACACTAAGCAGGACTCTAACTTACTATCTATTGAATGTCTTGCATATTGAAAGCAAAGCCTTGTAACATCTCAAAATATAGTTTCTATTGTCATGTCAAATGCTTGAATGAATGAATGAATACTATTTAAGTCATAATCAACTGTACCAGGCAGTACTGAAAGAAATTCATCTCAGTGATGTCACATGCCTAAAGGGCCCTTCAGCCAAATCAGGATAATTTAATAAGTTGAGGTAAGTGTGTATTAACTTTGGATCAGACCCATTAGACTGGTATTAGGTTGCATTTTTTAATGTAGAATTTTCAAAGACACATTATAAATATATGATACATGTTTAAGAAAGACAGTAAATAATGAATCGTCTAAAAAAATAGGGTGTGAACTTGGGCTAGCCATCACTTCATATGGCCATTATATTTAGAAACGCAGGTCTCTGTGTTTCTAAATATACAACACTGACTGAAGTCATTTATTTGTTGCCTCCCTTTCTAATTTACTTTCATCACAAACATCCTTTATTTGCTTCACTCCTCCATCATTAACTCCGACACGTCCCTCTCTCCCTGTATGTCCTCAGTTCGTCCCTCTGATAGTGGAGATGTGCTGTGGGGTGGTGGAGGAGACGGGTTTGGAATACACCGGGATCTACCGCGTGCCGGGGAACAATGCCATGGTGTCCAACCTGCAGGAGCATCTGGACAAGGGCCTGGACATCAACACAGCTGAGGAGGTACATGTGTAACTGGAGCCGTAACTAAGAATCATTGAGGTACATTAGGAGTGTTTTATGTGTAAATGCTTCATGGAAAACACTAACCCCTCTCTTGTGTGTCTCAACAGAGATGGCAGGACCTGAACGTAATCAGCAGCTTGCTCAAATCCTTTTTCCGGAAACTGCCTGAGCCTCTCTTCACTGATGGTGAGTCCTCATCAGTTTATTGTGAAGCGCAGCAGGAATCATAATGAACCTCTGTAGTGCACATTATAAAAGTAGGGCTGCAACTGGATGCTTTTTCCAGTTTGTATACAAATAAACATAATTTAATGCATGGGGCAAAAAAGTATTTAGTCAGCCACCAATTGTGCAAGTTCTCCCACTTAAAAAGATGAGAGAGGCCTGTAATTTTCATCCTAGGTACACTTCAACTATGAGAGACAAAATGGGGGGAAATAATCCAGGAAATCACATTGTAGGATTTTTATGAATGAATTGGTAAATTCCTCTGTAAAATAAGTATTTGGTCACCTACAAACAAACAAGATTTCTGGCTCTCACAGACCTGTAACTTCTTCTTTAAGAGCCTCCTCTGTCCTCCACTCGTTAACTGTATTAATGGCACCTGTTTGAACTCGTTATCAGTATAAAAGACACCTGTCCACAACCTCAAACAGTCACACTCCAAACTCCACTATGGCCAAGACCAAAGAGCTGTCAAAGGACACCAGAAACCAAATTGTAGACCTGCACCAGGCTGGGAAGACTGAATCTGCAATAGGTAAGCAGCTTGGTGTGAAGAAATCAACTGTGGGAGCAATTATTAGAAAATGGAAGACATACAAGACCACTGATAATATCCCTCGATCTGGGGCTCCACGCAAGATCTCACACCGTGGGGTCAAAATGATCACAAGAACGGTGAGCAAAGATCCCAGAACCACACGGGGGGACCGTCAATGACCTGCAGAGAGCTGGGACCAAAGTAACAAAGGCTACCATCAGTAACACACTACGCCAGGGACTCAAATCCTGCAGTGCCAGACGTGTCCCCCTGCTTAAGCCAGTACATGTCCAGGCCTGTCTGAAGTTAGCTAGAGAGCATTTAGATGATCCAGAAGAGGATTGGGAGAATGTCATATGGTCAGATGAAACCAAAATAGAACTTTTTGGTAAAAACTCAACTAGACGTGTTTGGAGGAGAAAGAATGCTGAGCTGCATCCAAAGAACACCAGACCTACTTTGAAACATGGGGGTGGAAACATCATGCTTTGGGGCTGTTTTTCTGCAAAGGGACCAGGACGACTGATCCGTGTAAAGGAAAGAATGAATGGGGCCATGTATCGTGAGATTTTGAGTGACAACCTCCTTCCATCAGCAAGGGCATTGAAGATGAAACGTGGCTGGGTCTTTCAGCATGACAATGATCCCAAACACACCGCCCGGGCAACGAAGGAGTGGCTTCGTAAGAAGCATTTCAAGGTCCTGGAGTGGCCTAGCCAGTCTCCAGATCTCAACCCCATAGAAAATCTTTGGAGGGAGTTGAAAGTCCTGTGTTGCCCAGCGACAGCCCCAAAACATCACTGCTCTAGAGGAGATCTGCATGGAGGAATGGGCCAAAATACCAGCAACAGTGTGTGAAAACCTTGTGAAGACTTACAGAAAACGTTTGACCTCTGTCATTGCCAACAAAGGGTATATAACAAAGTATTGAGATGAACTTTTGTTATTGACCAAATACTTATTTTCCACCATAATTTGCAAATAAATTCTTTAAAAATCAGACAATGTGATTTTCTGGATTTTCTTTTTCTCATTTTGTCTCTCATAGTTGAGGTATACCTAGGATGAAAATTACAGGCCTCTCTCATCTTTTTAAGTGGGAGAACTTGCACAATTGGTGGCTGACTGAATACTTTTTTGCCCCACTGTATATGATACCGAATGCTAAAAAATAAAAGCCTTGTATTGTATGTAGTCATACATCTACTCTGTCCACAGACAAATATAATGACTTCATCGATGCCAACCGTATAGAAGATGCAGAGGACAGACTGAAGACCATGAAGAAACTGGTATGTGTCGTAAAACAATGAATATGTTCTCCCTTCTTTACTATAAATATTTGTATTTTTATATTCATCCATCCTTCCGTCTGCAGCTCCATGACCTCCCCGATTACTATTACCACACCCTGAAGTTCCTGGTGGGTCACCTGAAGAAGGTTGCAGATAATGCTGACAAGAACAAGGTAACCTCTCCGCCTCTAAGGGAACACGATCATTCTTTAAGACAGACATGATCTTAACTTGGAGATGATTTCCAGATGGAGCCCAGGAACCTGGCCCTGGTGTTCGGTCCCACTCTGGTTAGGACGTCAGAGGACAACATGACGGACATGGTCATCCACATGCCTGACCGCTATAAAATAATAGAGACACTCATCCTGCACGTAAGATCGAGAAGCTGCCTTCTAATGCAGAAATACTGCACCACTCATTGTGCTGTGTTTGTGTTATCATTAATACTGTGTTGCTCCAACAGCATGACTGGTTCTTCACTGACGGAGAGCTCGATAACGAAGAGAAGGTATGTTAGCCCACAGAGTGATGTCATAAATACAGGGGGTGTTCGTCCTCATTCGTACGTCTATTTTGAGTATTATTTTCCGTTGTGTGTGTGTGGCCTAGCATTACTATACTTGAGGGTACCTAAATCTGTTTACACAGTCACGTGTGGGGACTCGCCTCCCTTATGGGGCAAATTGGAGGTCCCCATGAGGGGAATCATTCATTGTAGGGTGAAGACTTGGTTAGGTTTAGGATTAGGGTTAGGTTAAGGGTTAGGGTTAGGGTTAGGCATGTGTTGGTTATGGTTAAGGTTAGGATAAGTCTCCAGGAAATGCATGTAAGTCAATGTAATGTCCCCTGAAGTGGTGTGTGTGTGTGTGTGTGTGTGTGTGTGTGTGTGTGTGTGTGTGTGTGTGTGTGTGTGTGTGTGTGTGTGTGTGTGTGTGTGTGTGTGTGTGTGTGTGTGTGTGTGTGTGTGTGTGTGTGTGTGTGTGTGTGTGTGTGTGTGTGTGTGTGTGTGTGTGTGTGTGTGTGTGTGTGTGTGTGTGTGTGTGTGTGTGTGTGTGTGTGTGTGTGTGTGTGTGTGTGTGTGTGTGTGTGTGTGTGTGTGTGTGGACGGACCCCGCAGGACAAGCGGAACATGCAACCTGTTCCCAACATCGACCATCTGCTGTCCAACATCGGCAGGCCGGGCATGCCGGGGGAGGCCTCAGGTGAGGACTGTGATTTAATGCGTGGCATGAGAGACACATGTTTACTACGAGAGGATCATCTGCTTAACTAAAACTCAGCTCAGTTGAAATTATGATAAAGGTGCCAAGTTTGGACTGTACAAAATAAAAGAAATCATGAAATGTATACGCATAAATATTAAATATGTCACTATTCGACATGCTTATACACCAACAAACTTTTGGAAAGCCTTCTGTGAAAGGGCACTCACAAAATAAAATTCAATTAGTTCAAAAAGGATTTGGAAGAGAAATCCAAAGCCTGTCTCTCCCCTCACGCAATCTGGCCAATTGCTTTGTGAAATTATATCTGTTTCATTTAAACTGACCCCTGATCTGGGCCTTCTGCTATCTGCTGGTGTTGACCAAAGATAAAGCCTTACATGACTAATGCCAATTCAACTTTAATGTTTAATTGCTTCTCTATTTTCTACTCCTAATGTACTAGTTGGTCTCACTTTCTTTATTTTCCAGTAGCTCTCTTTACTCTCCAGTTATTTCTCTGGCTGTGTATACTCATGATGTTTCCTACTCTTTCTAACTTTCTCTCTTTTTCTCCGGACGTTCTGCTCTCTTCTTCTGTAGCTGAGACAGTGGATCAGCCTCTTCGGTAGGACCAGGTCTTCCTCTTGTGTGTTTGGTGTTTCTATTGCACTTGGATTCCTTTTCTTTCCGTCTGTCTGACTTTCCCACCGTTGAAGCGTCATGCCCATGTCTTGCTGACACAGTACAGGGGTCCCCGTGCATGAAAAACACACAGTGTGTAGATTGATGCACATGATGCACAAAGCTCACAAGCACCACAAGCATGTCCGACTCACCATGGTAACACCATGAAGCGGCAGCGCTGGTGTCTTGCTCAGCTGTGACAGGGAGGGGGGAGGGGGGTGTAGGAGAGGACGGGGTCTCTGAGTTACATCGTTGTAAGAGAAAAAGTGGTAACACTTTTGGGGCCATCACGTAGCATAAGAGATGCTTTAAAGTTAGCTCATTAAGCCAAGTCCTCTTTTGGGAAACTGTTTGTTCGTACAGTAGAACAGAGAACTGTTTTAAAAAGTTCCTTTTTATGAAGAAAAAAGTTTAACAAAGTTGCCAGTGTCCAAAATGCTGGGCCCCGATCAAGAGCTTTTATGTGTGTTTCTGACACTTGGCACTACTGTCGGTTAAAAATAAAGTAAAATAAACTAACTTTAATGCAACAATCCCATTGTCCCTGACCACGATCCTAAACCCAGACATTAACTGAACCGTGACTTCTGTACCACCACACCACTTGCTAATGTTTAAGGTAAACTCTGGTCATTTATGCAACCTCAATCAAAGAAGTGAGAACTGTTTGTTTGCCTGATTCTGAAGATGAATCCTCCTGTAATGTCTGGAGTTCTGCTGTGATTAGACCCCCCCCCCCCCCCCCCCCCCCCCCTAACACTACTACCAGCCTGTGTCCAGGGATAACATGATTCTAATCCCATCTCTCCCTCCTCATAGATTCCACCACCAGCAATTTTCTTAAATCCAAGGTGAGCAAGACATCCCTTACTTCTTTATTCTGGGAAAAGGATAATGGATTCTGGAATATGAAATATGGAGCGTCCATTATTCAAATATTAAAAACAACTTGTAAGTTATCCAGCAGCTGAATATAATGTTATTAAAATGTAGCTCTACATCACCAGCTGTAATAGAGAGGCGAAGTCCCTCCCTTTCCGGTGGACCTCCATGGGACCTTATTTCGGAAAAATTATGTATTGAAGTCAATGGGGAGAGAAAAGTTATCTTTCGATCCCGTTTGAATTGTGCCACGAATTATACATATGATGTTTGTCAATTTAAAAGACCATTTTGCAAGTAAAAAAAAAAAAGTGTGAAACCGCTCAATGAACTACATCTCTGGTCTCGCAATACAACACACGTCACCAAGATGGCCGTCACTACTGTCTTGCCAACAAAGGGATTGACTACCCTCACTATCACCACAAAGAAACACGTCCAGAAGAATGTCATGCAAAGCTGCCTGCCTTCCTTCGATTCTGCCTGAACTGCCTGATCTTTTTAATGTTCAATGTCAACCATTTCTGCAGATAGCATGAAGTAGAAAAGATCGCCAATGCTAATGTAGCGTTAGCATGTCTCCCCCGGAGGCATCCGGGCTTAAAAGGTGTATATAGAATGATCACACCGGTGTGACAGTACCCTTAAAGGGGTTCACGAAATATGACTACTACTCCTACTGTTTAACATGTTGGGTTACTTAATGTTACTTCATGTTAAGGCTAATAAAAATGACAAGGCTAAGGCTGTAATGCTAACTAACGTGCTTGCTACTAGCTAGGTAGCAAACTTGATCCAGCCACTCCTGGTCCTTTCATCAGACGGGAAGCGAAAGAACGAGCAAGACCCATTGCTGGTATGATAACAACCTGGTACAAAGCACACAGGCATCTTGTTAAAGTTATATTACCTTAGATATCTCTTATATTTAGTGGAGGAAAACAATTATGACATCAGGACATCACTTACGCTCTGGGATTTGTAGTCTTTCTAGTTGCGTATTTTTCATAGTCTTATATTTCAACAGTTTTACGACAAACTGATTTTTTCACATGGAAATTATTTTTTAAGATTGACAATCATCATATGTGTAATTCATGGCACAATTCAAACGGGAATGAAAATATAAGTTTTCTCTCGCCATTGACTTCAATACTTTTTCCGAAATAAGGTCCCATGAGGGGAGGGACTTCGCCTCTCAATAGTAACCGATTAACTCAATAAATATTATTCTGAAATGGGCCACAAGGAGTACTTTTACCACTAATACTTAAAGGGGACCTATCATGCAAAATGCACTTTTTGATGTCTTTTATACATACATATGTGTCCCCGGTGTGTCAGGGAACTCATGCAGCGTCAGAAAATAAAACCCTCTCTTTTTTCCTCCGTACCCAAATCTCTAAAAATGGGGCTACAACGGAGCTGATCCAAATTTGGGGCGGCGGCGGCTAGTGGAGTACTTCGTGACCACAGAGTATGAATGTTGTGATCAGCTGTTTTAGCGCAGTTCTCCAGTGAGCCGGTTGGCGTAGTTTTGGCACAATTCCGTTGTACAGACCGACGTTAACAGCAGCCCTGTCTGTGCACACGGAGACCGACTCTGTCGTCCGGTGATCTAACCGCCTTCTGGAAAAGCTTCACAAGTACGTCGGTACGCAAATGCGCTTTGTGACACAAGTGACGGTACGCATTTCAGATTACGCACATAACCTGCATACCAGTTATGTGCACCAAGCCCCCAGGAAGTGCGCCGGACTCAGATGAAAATATTCGTGCTGGCCAAAAGGCGGTACTACACTTCCGTTTGGTTGCCAGGCCCGGAAACACTTTTTCCCATTGACTTACATGGGGAAAGAGTGGTCTGTAACTCATTGGATAATTTTTTTTTAAACTAAATAAACTACCCAGTATGAACACTTGTATAGCCCTTATTAAAAACATTCGTCCCTCAAGTTGTAAAAATGTGCTAATAACGTTATTCTGAGAGTTATTTCCCTCTGCATTATGAAGGCGCATCTAACCCACGGGACCGCGCCGCCCGGGACATTGGCTGGAGCTATTGGAGCTACAACGAGCCGTTAAAGGCAGAGAGTGAAATTCAGTGAATATATGTATTTTACAGAGATGCTGTATAAGAAACCAATGTGAGTTGCATTTATCTTTACCCATGGATGCACAATAAGAACGGACCCATATCGTCTTACTGCCATCCCACGGAGCTGTAATAATGGATATATTGCACATGTTTGCTGTAATTCATTATCATACATACTACATGGGCTGTATGATTAAATCTTGTACCGTAAATGTTGTATTAAATCCCAGAGCTGTCAGCGCAGCGCCTCCACAGATCTGGCACATCTATAACGCCAGTGCGACGGGCCGGCCCTGGTCAGGTTACGCTGTAGGAAGTGTAAATAAAGTTAATATTACCGACATTATTAACGTCCCTGTAGCTTCGTATTGCACTAAGAAGCTTATTGCACTGTATATAAATATATATATATATATATATATACAGTGCAATAATTATTTCATGCTAAATTAAGCTCTGTTGGATATCACTAGATCCTGTTACAGCGTAATATAAGTACATAACGATGGATGTGTACATTAGCATCATTACTAGCTAGCCGCTAGCTGCTAACTGCCACCTCGTTCATATCAAATCCATGATAACAACAATTACCATTAACAAGCTGTCATGAACGTGCGGTGCTGTTACGTGTACGCAAATTGACGTGCTTGATGTGAACGAGCATTTTGGTTAAAGTTGCGCATGCTCTATGAGTGCACATACGGGTACTTCTCAGGCATGCTGGGTAATCTGTTACGTTTCGCTCTCTCAAAAGTTGGGCCATTTTATCATCATGCGCTAATGAGCAGCTCTCAGAGGAATGAATGAGGCCCCGCCTCCCACGCTGTATCCAGTTCTTATTATACATCCATGATGTGCACCCCTGTACTACAGCAAAGTATTCTCTGTCGGGACTTCCTGCAACAACACCACGCCGTTATCAAAGATGTTCTATTGAGAAGACGATCACTACGTGACAAAAGTTTTCAAAACTGCTGTCTGTGCAATTTACTCCGCGAGTTGGCAGACTTTATTTTGCCTACTTTAACATCATTTTTTATAGTGGGGCTAAGCCATTTCTTGGTATGGGTGTAGCCTACCCCAGCCATACCCTGGCGCTGCCACTGGTGGCACGTATGGGGCGGGCCATTCTGCACATGTGTTAAATGCGTTAAATATTTAACGCAATTAATTCAAAAAATGAATTACCGCCGATAACGCGATAATTTTGACAGCACTCATTTTTATATATCTGAGACCTATGCTATTGCCTAAAAATAGCATGATAGGTGCACTTTAAGTATAACTTGATGCCAATACATTTTTACTTTTACTTAAGAGTTTGATTGCATGACTTTTACTTGTAACAAAGTAATTGAGTATTGCTACTTTTACTTAAGTACAGAGTCTGATTATTCTTCCACCTCTGTGTGACTGTGATTTTACCTTTTCAGTTTTCATCACTCTCCAAAAAGGACCTGAATGCCAGGGACTTCCTACCCAAGTCCATAATCTCTGCTGTGACCCGCAAACGTAAGAAAAGCCTGAGCACCCACCTCCAGGACGACAGCGCCGACGAGGACTCCGAGCACGAGCCCGTCAAAACCAGCAACTACGGGGGAGGACAGGAGGAGGGGGGGGGAGGAGGAAGTGGAGAGAAGGAAGGAAGAGGCGGCCATGGGAGAACATACCTTCCCTAAAAAGGAAAAAAGGGTTGAAGAGGAAACGGCGGTGAAAGCTAGAGAGACCTCTGAGGGAAACCATTCTGTGGCTGTAGAAGGGTCTGAACAGGAAGTAGGGAGTGGAAAAGCAGGAAAAGCGGCAAAACATTTGAAAAGGAGAGTAGGCGTAGAACCACCCCGCCTCGAAATGTGCCGCAGCTTCGTCCAAACAGTTTCCACTGCCAACACTACCAGACCACCTACCCAAGACCCTCAGCAGAGTCTTCTTCTTCCAATGTGAGGCCTCACAACCGGGCCAGAGGACTTCCCATTGTCCCTTTCTGGATCCGCCCCACCCGGCTTCCCAGCCTCTACCAGTCTTCAAGCTTTTATGGGACCCAGCAGCCCGACTGGAACCAGTCCGCTCCGGTCCACTACAGAAAGACGAGAGGGGAGAGGACCAGAGCTGTGTCCATGAATTTGGACCTGGAGCTGGGCAGGGGGGAGGACAGGGTGAGAGGGTGGAGAGCAGAGAGGGTGGAGGTGATCCGGGTCATTGAGGGACCACCGGGTCAGGTTGCACGTGTTGGGGTTCCTCAGGGATTAATTGTAGGTCCTGGGTCAATTCAGGAAATAGATCCTCCCCCTCACTCTTCCTCCCCCTCACCTGCTGCTCACCCTGTGGTCCTGAGGAGGTCGGGTTTGGCCCCCCGGGACAAGACGAGAGCGTGGCGGCGTCACACGGTGGTCGTTTAACCGTCTCATCCACTAATGGATGCACCCCCCCCTTTACTCACAACACTGGAGCGCCTGTCACTGCCTCCACACACAGCATGTTGCTTTAGGGGTCTCTGATATTATGAGCAGCTGTAGAGTTTCATTCCAAAATGATATCACCGTCATTTAAAACATGTGAAACCCATAGGATTCACTATTCAACTCAAATCGAAGCTATGCATCTTTAACCCTTTACTTACAAAATAACTGTAGATTTTATTATCGTATATTGTTATACATTTCAAAAGAACATTAGGGCTGAAAAAGGTAAGCTGATCTAGGAAAACTACACATCAAAAAAATCTGATCACAGTTCTCAGGGAAAAAGTCTGTGTGGTGGGATCCACACCACTGTCGTAGATAGTTGCGTTACATTACATTAGATGTCATTTAGCTGACACTACAACACACCAGACATGCCACAGAGCAATTGAAGGTTAAGCATCTTGCCCAATGTCCGCCTATACTGGTGAGGGTTATATATAATACTGTATCTGACAAGCTAACATGCTAACAAAAAACAGCCATGCTACCTTTTGTCAGTCACAATAGATATCTTAGCTAGGTAACTTGCTAATTTTCAGTTAGCTTGGTCGCTAACAGAACAATAAGTTCACACAGTTGTTGAGAAGAGGTTGACTTAAAGTTGAAAATGCGCCAGCTGATAATCTGCAGTAGCTTCTGCTCCTCAGCTGACTCATCCTTATGACCATCGCCTGAAGAGTCACCAGTGAGTATTCAAGGATTTAACAAGTGACTCCACAACAATTCCATTGACATGGCCAAATATTGCTGTTTTAAATGCTGGTCCGACAGGGGCTTTACAACAATATAACTAGATACACTTGTTTCCTAAACTGGTTTAATTGAATGATTCTTGGGAAAATGTGGCAAAATATCTCTTTAGATGAAGTGAACGGAGTGATGAGAGATATACATATCAAAAAGAATAATGCAGAATAATGCAGAGCAGATGTATCTGTCTTTTCAAATGTATGGCTAGATATATTCCAGGGAAGTAAAACATCTAAAATTACAACAACAAAAAACATACATTGAACATACACTGGTCACACAGTGATTAAAGCATCTCTCAAGAGATTCTGATTGGAACAATCTCAATCATTTACAGTGCTGTTCCTAATACAACCACTAGCTGGTGCCAAAGTAAGGAGTCCTAAATCCTACACATAGTGGCATTATTATATATTTCTTAAACATTTTTTTGGAATGAAACCCTTAAGTTGTAAATGTAAAAGAGGTTTGAAATGAGAAAAAGCCATATGAGATGATTGAAATTAATCTCCTGGTGCCTCACCAGAAGACACTCGGCCACAGGTCTTATGCAAAGTGCTGTACATGCTGCTGTCTTCCTATGATGTCTTTGACAATACCCACATGGGCCAAAATAACCTATTCAACCAACCTGCCGCCCTGAGTGCAGCTCAGTGACTCAGAGGAAGCTTCAGTTTACTGCTCGGCCCTTTAAAGCTCTTCCAAAGCCTCCTGAGGTCCTGCAGGGACCCCCAGTCACCCCCCTGGATGATGGGACTTGGGCATTATGCCAAAACTTCCATGGACTAAAACATATGTGCATGATATTTCAGTGAGTGAAAGCCTGTCCTGCTGCCGTGTGTGTGTGCGTGTGCGTGCGTGTGTGTGTGTGTGTGTGTGGGTGTGTGTGGTCCAGAGGAAACTAACAGGAGCGTTTAAGGCAGCTATGCAACGTCATGCCAAAATGATTTATCTTTTTTCTGTTTGTACAATATCAGCAGAAATGGAGCCAAGAAGTGACCTGTGCCACAGTGAGGCTGATTATACATTATATCAGTGTTACTGTCGCCGTGGCAGCAGTTGAATAAGCTCCTTAAATCCAAACACCACAGTCTTACCTGAGTGATACTTCTTCCTTTCCACGTTTTCACTATCTTTGCTCCCCATTAACTGTGTGTCTTAATCATATCTACAGTCTGTCCTCTGTGCCCCTGTGCATGGACTTTATGTACGTGGGTGACTGTGCGTGGACCAATTTTGTAACAGTTGTACAAAGCCTTGTTAAGTTAACCTGTGTATATAATTATTATGCATAATATATTAAATTATTTGTTTTGGAAAATGTGGTGTGCTTATTTTCTGATTCACATGTGAGTTTCTGTGGAAACAGTTGTATAATGTTGTGTGCATGTGAAGTTTAAGATATAAGCAGGTTCAAATGAAAGACCATTTGCATTATGGGAATAATAAACATTACTTATACAAAACTAATTTCAGACACCTGCATTGATCAATTTAACATTTCACATCATATATTTTATTTGGTACATGATCATAACTGCCATAGAATATCCGTATAACTTTATAGAGGCTAAAAACGGATTTAGAAATGATTTCAGACTATGTTTGATTGTCCTAAATCAACAATAAAACTCATGATTAAGTCATTTTACAATGAGCTTAACACACTTGTATAACTATATTCTAACTATATATTTGAAGTATCTTGTATTTATCTCTTAACAGTTATAAATGTGATTTAACTCACTTTGTGTTAAAGGTGGGGTATGTAATTTATTTCAGAAACACTTTTTGTTATATTCCATGGAATGATCTTAACATCCCGATAGCAATGAATATATTAAATGCTTTGACAATAAATACATAACATTTCATCTGTGGAAGCCGTAGCACTGTAAAAAGCACGACCAATCATTTTAGCCTGCCATCTGTGCACAAACTTATCTCGTGCCCTCATTGGTCATGTGCGCGTTTGTGTGTGTTGGAGGAGGGGCCATGGATGTATAATAAGTGTTAGAGAATAATTCTGTCTTTACTTCTAGATATTTAACCTTTCTGCCTGTTGACGATTATAACCAACCCTGAGTCTGTTGTCTCCCGTAAGGAATGTGCTAATGCAGTCATATGGTGTTGTTCCCAGTTTTATGACCGATCAACTCTCGGTCACAGAGCCTAAGATCTCCAGATGTTGGCGATATCTCCAGTGTTCCCAGGTGTTTACGCACCATCACCCAATATGTGGATTAACTCTCTGTAAACTAGTTAAAAGGTCTATCGCGAGAGAGGCTGGGCAGATTTGACATGGCAACCCACCAGGGCAGTCAGAATCTCTGGCTGCTGTGACTTGTGATGTGAATTTCTCTGGCCGATACTTGTAATAAACATCAGTGTTTGACATCAAAGCTCCAACTCTCCTCGTGTCTGAGTCTTGACTCTCCATTGCTGCAGAAGTTTCCCTTACAATAAGAACTGGGCTGAAGTTGAATAGTCCATTTAGCTTAGGAACCTTCCTAACGGAGTGAAATGACCCGGAAGTCCCTCAGTGGCAGCCATGATAAGTGCCGTTCGAATTCTCTAGATCAGGGATGGCCAACCAGTCAGAGGTTAAGAGCCACAAATGTTACTATGTTACTGCAAAGAGCCACATCAAGCTCTTTCTCAGTCACAGATGCGCGTGCACCCCCCCCCCCCCCTCCTTCTCTCTTTTGTTCTCAGCCTTTCTCTGTGCTCCTTTACTTTCTTCCTCTCCTCTCTCTCACACAGATAAAATGAAAATCTAAAACTTTACATGCGCGCACACACACACACACACACACACACACACACACTCAAAGACACTCATGGCGCGTTTCCACTGCAGGCCTCACTCGGTTTGGGTAGGCCTTATTAGGCCCGGCTCACTTTAATGCTGCGCTTCCATTACAGTTTAGTATGAGGGGCCGTACAGGCCATAATTCATACTGGTCCTCTCACGCACATACATTCTTCTTTTACATACATATATTTTCACTCTTACATACATACATTCTCCTTTTACATACATATATTTTCACTCTTACATACATACATTCTCCTTTTACATACATATATTTTATAATATATGCATGTCTGAAGAGAATATATGTATGCAGGGGAAGAATGTATGTATGTGTGAAGACAATATATGTATGCAAGAGAAGAATGTATGTATGTGTGAAGACAATATATGTATGTGAGAGAAGAATGTATGTATGTGAGAGAGAAAGTATAGTGGAAACGGAAGGAGTATGGTTGAAACGGAAGGCAGGTCATTCTTGCGCTGTGATTGGCTCAGAAGGTCGAGCGGGGCGGGCTCATGTTCAGAACTTCTGATTTCAAATCAACATAACATGATGGAGGGAGATGAATCGCGTAGATTGCAGCAAGCCTTAGGGGTTTTAAGGAACATTTGGTCAATGCCTGAAACTGTCACATCCCTGGCCAGGTGTCCTTGCGGGTGCGTTCGCTTTACTTATTAGAGCGTGCCGTAAGGGCGGTTACTCTTTGGTTTATAAACTCCCGCCTGGGACGGACTGATGCATTATATTATGTGCTATATGGAGGGGACTTTGACAGAGTATTTCTCACAAAGTACACAGTAAAAGTACTTCAATGTATTGTTAGTAGCAGTCAAACTAGTACCGAGTCCAACAGTGTCAGTTTTATGAAGAACTTGTGGTAAAATATATTTGTAAAAAGAAAATGAAGAGCTACTGATTTGAAAAAACGGCTCTCTGTATAGTTTAAATCTCCTAACAATGTTGTCCATTTATTCTTCTCCCCTCGAGTCCAACAGTGTCAGTTTTATTAAGAACTTTCAGGAAAAAATATTTGTAAAATATGAAGAGCAGCTGATTTGAAAAGACAAACGCGAGAGACGGCTGAGTGACCGCAGTGCAGAATCGCTGTATAGTTTAAATCTCCTAACAATGTTGTCCATTTTAGACACATGCTTATTATATTTACAGCCTTAATAACATTCATTTTCTTGGCTCAATGTGTGTCTTGGCCGTTTTCGTTGTGATCGCTAAATTCACCTTGTTTCCCCTTGTTTATAATTATGTTCAACGTTCCAAGCAAACGAGTGCTTTTGTTTTGAAATCACTTCCGTGAGTATCGCGCCCCCCCCCCCCCCTCGCTACAATGACCATTAGACCATTTAGTAAGGTAAAAACAAAAACGCCTCACAGACACTCTTCCGTTTACTTGTTTAATAAAGAAAAACAAGTGGTCCGTAGATACACGGAGTCATCTAACCCTAACCCTCTCCCTCCATCATGTTGATTTGAATCAGAAGTTCTGAACATGAGCCCGCCCCGCTCGACCTTCTGAGCCAATCACAGCGCAAGAATGACCTGCCTTCCGTTTCAACCATACTCCTTCCGTTTCCACTATACTTTCTCTCTCACATACATACATTCTTCTCTCACATACATATATTGTCTTCACACATACATACATTCTTCTCTCACATACATATATTCTCTTCAGACATGCATATATTATAAAATATATGTATGTAAAAGGAGAATGTATGTATGTAAGAGTGAAAATATATGTATGTAAAGGAGAAGTATGTATGTAAGAGTGAAAATATATGTATGTAAAAGGAGAATGTATGTATGTAAGAGTGAAAATATATGTATGTAAAAGGAGAATGTATGTATGTAAGAGTGAAAATATATGTATGTAAAAGGAGAATGTATGTATGTAAGAGTGAAAATATATGTATGTAAAAGGAGAATGTATGTATGTAAGAGTGAAAATGTATGTATGTAAAAGGAGAATGTATGTGCGTGAGAGGACCAGTATGAATTATGGCCTGTACGGCCCCTCATAGTTTAGGAACTGGGGTAGTTACTATAGTAACGCAGTGTAGGCGGAGCCGTGACGTCATCTTCAATGAGAGCCCCAGAAAAACAACACAGCCGTTAGCTCTTAGCACTCAGAGCTCACAGCTCTTCATATCTGTTCAGAAACTAGACAACAGTTAAACAAGTACTGTAAAGTCAAACAGAGCTTAGGGCTTTAATAAATATAAAATAAAAAAACAGATTAGAAGTAGTCGAAAATTAATAAATATGGAAACATAGAATAACAAAATATCTTAACTTTATTCAAAATTGAAATCATCAACGCTACAAATATGTTTCATTTAAAGACAAACCACCAATTAATAGGATAGACAACAGGTGTAATGATCGCAGGCAGTCCTGCCTCCTCTGGCAAGCTGGGTGTAAACACCCTAATTACAGAGCCCAGTGCTGCATCCTCAAGGAGGGTTTAAATAGTAGCTGTGTGCGATCCTAGTAGACGGAAGCGAGTAGACGGGAGGCACCTCTACTGAGTCAGGACAGGCAGCCGGTAAGAACATCCATCATGCTGTGAGAGCTCCGCAGAGCAGCTGGCGAATGTTCTGTTGAATTGTTTGCGTGTATGCAGGTGTCTTGTTAGAGCGCGAGCGGCGCTGCGCAGCATTGTTTTGTGGTTTAAATGTGCTGCGTTAATGGTGCGGCACAGAGAGAGTTTAGACGCATTGTTTATTTAGCTTAGAAGGAAGCTTTCTTGTTTAGAAATAGTAAATGTCTTAAAAAGAATCCATTTGATTTAGAAGCGTAAATAGTAAAGTCTTATTTTATTCATTGAATACCTCTGTGAAAGAAGGGGAAATAATAGTTTCTAGTTTAAAAATAATAATTAACTTGATTTGTCAACATTTCCAGAAAAGTCAAGTTAAAAGAATCCGCTTTATTTACATGGTTACACATTCTAAAATGTTCTTTTTTGTTTCAAAGGTTTTTCACCTGCATAAAGTGAACTTCTACATCAAAATAAAAAATATTGAAAAGAAGCTTTGTCACTGGAGTGAAATCCTGTTCCCAAAGTCCGGTAGACGCCTCATCCCTTTTCAAGTGGGGAATACACCCAAAAAACCCAGGACACTTGACAAGTACAAACCACAGACTGCCTGTGTCATGGCGAATACCGTCGCTGGTTTATTTATGTCTGTATAGGCCGTTGTCGTAAGTGTGGACGGTCGGAGCATATATAACGTTAGCTTAGCCAAGCTCCATTTAGAAAACACGCATTTTAAAAGGGTTTTTCGCCTGCCGTCTGTCTGCAGACTTGTCAAAGCATTAATTCATGGTTTTTACTAACCGGTATCAGTATGTTGTTACTTCGGCATCATTTTGAAACGTGTATTACAATTAATTCACGGTCAAATATGTTCATCTTGTTGTAGTTGTAGCCCCCTTGCCAGCGATTCTCTCTCTAGTTTAGCATACTCAGCCCGACTCAGCC